ATTAGCACCAACAGCTAAATCCATCCTATGTCTATCCCTAAAAGGGCTTTTCTTATCCTAAGGGAGATTTTCAGTAGACAATTAAATATTTCAAACAAACAATTAAAAATGTTTATTAATGTTTCCCAGTTCCTTTGATTCCAATCCATTTGTCTTCTTTACATCTATGTTACTAGAACATTATGGTTGCATGGTTAAAAAATGGTTGCACTCAAAAATCAGTAAACAAAAAATCAAGGACAGACATTATTACAAAACTCTGCCTGCTTGTGCACACACATTATGATACAGTTACACCGTCACAGACTAAATTTCAAATACATTATTTTTTCCACAACCTTAGATGCACATTGTGACTCTAAGAGCATTCCAATGCCAGAGGGCAGGGAGGCCCCTGGTATCTAGCAGCGTCTCAGTGTGCCCCAAATCATTCTTGTCATAATCTGTATTTAAAAGGTGTCATGTAAGGTATGATATGCAAACTGGTAATGCGCTGATCATTAATAGTATTGAGTTGTGTATGCATGGGTGATATATGAAAAATTATAAATATGTGCTGGAAATACATTCTAAAAATGTGTTGGCAGGTAGGGCTTAAGTTACCCACTCTATACAAAGGAACATGTCTCTAATATAAATTAAGCAAAAAGAGACAATGGAAGTACATTTACATAAAAGGTAAACAAAGCCATCAAACTAGCAAGTTGGGAAATAGTCATATAATTAACATGACAGGGGGAGAAGACTGCAAAAATTAACATGGCATCATCAAGCTGAGCCCCCAGAAGGGCTTCCTGACTGAAAACACAGATAAACTTCGAGGATATAAGCAGAGAACCATATTGATGTCTTTCACCTGACGAGACAAAGAAACTAGGTGCTTTGAGCTCTGTGGTGAGAAAACTACTCTGAACAAAAGGTTCTAGTTTCTTAAGTTACGGTTTACTCTTAGAAGCGTATTTTTTTTGTTTAACGATTTCTATCCCAATTCCCTCTACTTGGTATTACTCAACTATCTGCTCTTTGTTAATTTTGGTTTATTACACAATCATCTCGGTGCAGTGTTTCAAGCTGAAGAGTAAAATCCTCAGCCAAACTACCAGGCTAGTGCTATGTAGTCTCTTTAAATGGACCAGAGAACTTGATAAGGTTTGTGAGTGCTGCCGTGCGACAGGCTGAGCACTGCAGAGGAGATGGTCTGGGGGAGACTCGAGGGGCTGTTGCCATCACCCTGGAAGGAGTAACCAGGATGGTGGAAGGCAGGGTGAGGCCATCGTCCTGTAAGGAGGCTGCTGGTGTCAGGATGCTGAGCCACAGCTGCACAGCTCAGAAGCACCCAGGACTACAGGGCAGGCAGTGACACAACCCCTTACTGATCTGAGTGAACACCCAAAGTGTCACACATATATGGGTATCTTGTACTGCTGTCTACTACTACGTATGTGCCAGAATCAATGAAAGTAAGTTATATGAAAAGTAAACCACACTTCCACAGTATACTAGATTAAGTATACAATACTTTAAAAGTGAACATTTACATGTATATACAGGTAAGTATTGTATATAATACACTTGCAGCATCTTAGTATGGAAGCATTGGTTGGTTGGTTCTGTAATTAAGGCTGAGTTGAATTTTGCACCTGAAGTAGGGATTCACCCACTTTGTTTCATATTACAAATACCATGTATCCCTCCCCAAATTACAGACTTACTCCAATTTACAAATTAATTTAGGAGTTAAAAATAATTTGAAATGGCTCCTTTAAGAAGTTTAGTTCCCTGGGTCAGATTATTTTGGTCCTGAATGGTGTTACAGAATAACAGATTCTTCAAACTTTCCATATTGTGTGCATGTATATAAAGAATTAATACTTGTTTTCCCCATTATTCTTTATAACAAAACAACCTTAACTCTGCTCTAACATGAGGGGAAAAATGAAACTTCTTTTTAACCTGGGACTACAAACATTATAAACTAATCATAACTGTCTGGTCAATTCACTGCAACGCTACAGGATGGAGCTAAGATTTGGGTGCCTTAACTATGTATTTTCATACCTTAGCTGTAAGGATAAGGACTTTATCTGTAGACATATTGCAAGGCCTAAAGTCTAAGGCCTTTGTCTGCAGCAGATTAAAAGAGCAGCAGCCATTAGCTGAGAAGCAGGAAGTCACATCCTCACATTCCATATAATTTACATCAAAACAATGTAATATGAGGCTGTTAAGAAGGACACCCCGTCCTAATGGCACCCACTAGCACCAGATAAAGAAACAGATCTTAAGATGGTTAAAGAAAACTTAATTTGATAGCCTTCTGTCTGTCAAGAAATCACTTATCAATAGTTGTGGTTGTGAAATCCTAATTTCTTTATTGTTTTATCATTATGGTCCCCACTTCTCTATTGTTTGTCTGTATGAGCTCTGTCTGGTTCTTTGATTGTTTCTGTCTGTTACATAATTAATTTTGCTAGGTGTAAATCAATTAAGGTGGTGGGGTAGGATTGGTTAGAAAATTTTGTTACAATATATTAGCATTGGTTAGTAAAATTTTAGTAAATTGATTGGTTAAGGTACAGCTAAGCAGGCCTCAATTTTCACTATATAAACTGGGGTCCAAGAGGAAGTTCTTTGGGAACCAACTCCAGGATACAGCACCTAGAACAGAGCTGCCAGACCTCAACACTCTGCCAATGACACCGGGCAGAAACTGAAGTCCCCCAGATGGACCTGATCCTGACTGGCCATCAAGAAATGTTCATCTCTTTTATTGGGAGTAGTGAGCATTGTATGTGTAGCGTGTGCATTCTGGGTTTCGGTAATTGTTAATAAATAGAGGTTACATAGGATATTACTGTGTAAGGCTCTTTCACTGGTAAAAGACACCATAAACCTGCAAAAGATTAAGCCCTGACTCCACAAGGAAAGGGTGTTTGCTCTAAGTCCACATGGAAAGGGTGTTTGCCCGAAGCAGGAGTAGAGCCTGGAGCCCTAGGAACTCGGAAAGGGTGGGTGCCTAAATTAAGAGGATTATGCCTTGAGCCCTAGGAACTGAGTAAAGGTGGGTGCCCTAGAGCAGAGGTTCTCAACCGGGGGTCCGTGAGACCTTTCAAGGGGGCCACGGGGCCTAGCGGCTGAAGCCCCGATCCCTGGCACCCTCCCCTCCCCCCCGCGGGGCTGAAGGCCCGATCCCCAGTGCCCCCTCCCCCACAGGGCTGAAGCCTTGATCTCCAGCGCCTGCCCCCCACCCCGCAGGGCTGAAACCAGGGGAGGCGCGGGGCTGAAGCTCTGATCCTAGGCGCCCCCGTGGGGCTGAAGCAGGGAGGCACAGGGCTGAATCCTAGAGCCCCTAGCCCTTGTGCTCCCTGTGGGGCAGAAGCCCTGAGCACATGGCAGAGTTGGGGAAATTGAGGGCATTGCCTCCCCACAAACTACAGCTCAAGATCAAGGCAGTCCCGGGGGCAGTTCCACACCTTCCCCGAGTCCCCCTCATCTCCTCTCCCCGCCCCCTGACCAGGCTGGAGGCGGGAAGCCGCAGCCGGGCAGTGCGGGACAGCTGCTGCTCTGGCTGGTGCCATGGAGCAGGCAGCTTCAGCATTCCTTCCTCTCCTGCTGGTGCCCCAGGTTGAAGCTGCTCCTCAGCTTCCAGTCCCCTTTGCTCCCACAGAGACAGCTGGTAAGAGCCCCATGGGTGGGGAGACCCAGCTCCATGGCTGGCAGACCCCTCCGGGACAAGGGACCACAGGGAAGCCCTTCCAGCACATAGCCCCTAATACCCCTCTCCCTATACCCTGAGCTACACCCTCCCTGCACCCTGAGTTATCTCCTGTCTGCACACAGCCCCAGTACCCTTCTCCCTGCACCCTGAGCTACCCCCTGCCTGCACAGCCCCAGTACCCCTCTCCCTGCACCCTGACCTACCCCCCTGCCTGCACACAGCCCCAGCTACCCCCTCCCTGCTAGTTGAGCTACCCACTGCATGCACATAGCCCCTAGCGACCACCTCCTTGCACCCTAAGCTGTTTTTAAACTTTTTGAGCTAAGCCCCCCACCTTTGAGTTATAATTTTTGGTTGTGTGGCCCTCCCCGAACCCAGACAGGCTGGGTGGCCTGCTGAGGTGAGTCAGGGGGTGGGGGTGACGCTCCCTCCCTAGACCCTGCCATGCGGAGCTGGCTCGAGCCCTGCTGGCCCCTGCCCCCCCCAAATAGAAATCAAACTACGCCTATGCCCAAGGCCCCTGCCCCGAGGCCCCCCCCGCCAGGCCCTGAAGTTTTTATAACATGTCAAGGGGGGCTTCAGAGAGAAAAAGGTTGAGAACCCCTGCTCTAGAGTGTGACAGTAACAGAGAATTTTGTGCGGGTAACATAGCATGTTTGACTCTCTTAAGTTTATCCTTAACTCTGAATTTCCTGGATTTATAACACATATTTCTGGGACAATTACAACATCCCAACAATTACAAGGTTAAGTTACTCAACCTCAACTCCAGGTTAACACTTTTTAAGCTATTTGCAGTGTTACTATAGTCGTGTTAGTCCCAGGATACGAGAGGGACAAGGGGAGTGAAGTTATATCTTTTATTGGATCAACTTCTCTTGGTGAAAGAGGCAAGCTTTCAAGCTCCATAGAGCTCCTTCTTCAGTTCAGTTTTTATCTGGTCATGTTAATTGAAGCAGTCTATATTGTGACAAAATAGAATGTTAATTCAAATATATTAAGAAATTTTAATATTTAATTTCAATTTTTAAGGATCCATATATTACAATATTAAATTTATATTTCCAAATATAAATAATACCGATTAGTTTAATATTATAATATGAGGCAGACTTGAAAAATTCAGTCTAAAGCTATACTAGTAAGATCAGCAAGTGCAACCAGAGCATGAATAGCAACTTATTATGGGAAAAGGCCAGGAGAAGGAAAAAACTGTTTGCAATGGCAGTTGTAGATCTAGGTCAATGGAAGTCAGTAAGGGGTAGAAATGTTCAAGGCTTACCTTCAGGCTGAGTCGCCACCTTCAGTGGTACTGAGCTCTCTCCAGGGCCATGTTTGTTTTGAGCCACAACTCGGAAAACATACACGGTCTCTGGCATCAGGTTTTGGATTGTCACTTGCATCTCTCCAGGACGACTTGTATTTTCAACACGTTCCCTTTAGGAAAGAAAAGATTTGGGCAGGAACGCAAAAGTGAAGATTTATCATTGATTAGTAAAAGGATAGTTTGTACATATCTAACAAAGTAATTGATATGATTAATTATATTACATTGATTACACATTAATGTTAATATGCCAAAAGCACTTAAGACAAACAGCTTCTAGTTCTGCAGCTTCATTTTGAACAAACATAGCAAAGAAAAAAAGTTACACAACACCACAATGAGGGGAGGAGGAGGGCACTGTTTTGTTGGATTGTCTTATTCTTCATAACCAGATAATAATTCAACTTGAAAATTTGTCATAGAAGTCCAAAGCCCTGGGAGAAAAATTAAGAACTGTTTAAACTGTTTTGGTTATTAATTCAGAGGATTTTTTTTAAAGCATCAGTTTACAATTCTCTTTTGAGCTCAAACTTGATTTAGTTCATTCTGATATTTGGACATTTTTTGTAAAATGTCTAAGGCTATGTTTGCAGTGTTGTCACTTTCACCAACAGAAGTTGGTCCAGTGAAAGATATGACCTCACCCACCTTGTCTCTAAGAAACAGTACGGCACATAATACCAAGCAGTGATCTTAGACGACCCTTACAATACTTGGCACTAAGAGTCTAGTTGTGGCCAATAGTGTATGTTTAAGTTTAAGATGGAGACTCAATCCTTAACTTTTAAAATGTAACAGATTTTTTCAGTTCATGTCACAACCTCGAAGTAAAACTTCATCCATTTTGATCAGCCCAGCAGCTTGAAAGTTCACATGAGGAAAAGTACTTTGCCAAACTAGACTGAAATGTAGTGTACGTTAGATAGACTTCAAGAGAGTTTTTAATATTTTGCTGGAATTCCTTTTTAATTTTTTTTTGGTGACTGGCAAAAGATGCAATACAGTTTAAATCCAGTATGGGGTGTTGGGATTTGTTACAGACCAGCAGATGGAACTAGAGAATAGGATGAGTAACTCCCTAAAACAACACCTATCAGCAACAAGTGGGGGGGAAAACTCCAGGTAGAGGGGATTTCAATTTGGGAGACGAATGGTGAAGGCCTCATGTAGTCAGTAATAAAACATCTTTAGACTTTTCTAAAAATTATAAATGATAATTTTCTAACAAAAAAGATGTTGCACCAAACATGAAATAACTCTACTTTGGACATCTTTATGACTGATAAAGATGAATTAATCACTGGACTGGAAGTTGGTAATTGTCTGGGAACCAATGATCATGAGCTGATGACATTCAATATGGGCAAATAGAGGATACCTTCAATCAGTAATATATATACTTGCTGCTTCAAAAGGGCTAGTTTCTCAAAGTTAAGGAAATGAGCAAAAATGATTGGGAGGAAAAATTTAGACAGAAAAATGAGAGTGCAAATTGGGAGTTTTTAAAAAAGAGTTTATTAGATGGTCAAAAAGCCTCAATTTCAAAATCAAGAAAGAGAACAAATTTGGTTAAAAGCCCATCCTCATTTAGTGGAAAAGTGAAGGAAACAATTAGAAGTAAAAAAAAAAAAGCAATATATAAGAAATGGAAAACGGGAGACGTAGAGATAGCAGTTGATATAAATTAGAAGTTATGAAGTGCAGAAAATTGATAAGAGAAGCTACAGACACCATAGCTGGCAGGGCTATGGACAACAAAGAGGGTTTAAAAAAAAAAAAAAAAGCATATTAGGAACAAAAGAAATTATATCAATGTTACAGGACTATTACTAGACGGAGATTGTGATGAGGTGTGCTCCCCACACTGGCCCTGCAATAGCTGAATTAGGCCAGGTGGGCCCGATCAGCTGGAGGCAGCTAATTAGAGAGAAGCTCACCTGTGAGGGAGCGGCAGGGCTTCCAGAAAAGACAGGAAACTGGAAGCAAAGGGGACTGCAGGGAAGGAGACTGCAGTCACTCCCTGGGGAAAAGGGGGTGGGGCGGCAGAGATGAGTTGTCTAAATTACTCCCTGGGAGGAGGGAGTGAAGAGACTGGCAAACCCAAAGGAGTGGGAAGAGCCAGGAGGGTATGGAAGCAGCTCAGTGAAAGGCAGCAAGGTGCAGGGAATGGATCTTGGCTGCTGTGTAGAGGGTTCCTGAGCTGGAACCCTGAGTAGAGAGTGGGCCTGGGTTCCCCTGCCAGCCACTTCAGGAGTGGCACTGTAACACAGTGAAGAAGAAGACTGCCTGAGACTGCTGGAGAGCAGGAACTTTGATACACTCCTCCTCACCTTCCCCCTTCCCCCGAAGAAAGGGAAACCACAATAGTGACCTGAGTCACAAAGAGGACAGCTGTGGCTCCTGAGAGCAAGAGAGGAGCTTCAGAGGAGAAACTGACAGGGTGTAACCGCTGGAAGGGGCATCAGCCTGACTTAGCTAATCCCCAGAACCACCAGGAGGCAGCACCATCCAGCAGTGAGTACAGCAACCCCATTACAGAGATAATGAAATTGTTAATAATGTTGCAAAAAGGCAAAAATGTTCAATAAATATTTCTCTTTTGTATTTGGAAAGAAGTAGGATGATGAAATACTTTCCAGTCCAGCAGTAAGTGAGGAAGTTAGACATAATCTACTAGTGAGAATTATTTTAAAATCAGCCAGCCCAGATAACTTCCACCCAAGAGCTATAAAAGAGTTGAACACAGAATGCAGGTCACACGTACAGAAGGGAGGACTGTATTCTGGAAAGTAGTGATTCCAAAGGATTTAGCAGGCAGAGTGGACAAACAAGTGAACTTGAGCTGCCAGAGTGGTGCTATGACAAAAATGACTAATGCAATCCTTGGATGTATAAACAGGGGAGTAGGAGTAGGGAGGTGACTTTCTCTCTCTATACAGCATTGGTGAGCAGATCTGGTATCCACATTTTAAAAAGGATGTTGAAAAATTGGAGAGGGAGCAGAAAAAAGCCACAAAACTGATTGCAGGGCTGGAGAAAATGCCTTACAGTGCGAGATTTAGCTCAATTTCCTTATTTTATCAAAAACAAGATTAAGGGGTGACTTGATTTAAGTACCTTCATGGGGTTCTAATGGGTTCTACAAAGCGCTTTAATATAGTAGAGCAGAGATGGGCAAACTACGGCCTGCTGGCCACATCCGGCCCGCGGGACCCTCCTGCCCAGCCCCTGAGCTCCTGGCCCAGGAGGCTAGCCCCCAGCCCCTCCCTTGATGTTCCCCCTCCCTTGCAGCCTCAGCTCACGGCGCTGCCGGTGCAATGCTTTGGGCAGCAGGGCTGCAAGCTCTTGCCGGGTAGCGCAGCTGCAGAGCTGAGGCCTGACCTGGCACTCTGTGCTGCGCGGTGGCGTGGCTGGCTCCAGCCGGGCGGCACAGCTGCCTGTCCTGGTGCTGTGGGTGGCACGGCTGTAGCACCGCCAGCCACCGGTGCTCCAGGCAGTGTGGTAAGGGGGCAGGGAGTGGGGATTGGATAGTGGGCAGGGGAGTTCGGAGTGGTGGTCAGGGGCCGGGGGTGTGGATAGGGGTCGGGGCGGTCAGAGGGCTGGGAACAGTGGGGTTGAATGGGGGAAGGGGTCCCGGAGGGGCAGTCAGGAAGGAGAGGGGTGTTGGATGGGGCGGCAGGGGGCAGTCAGGGGCAGGGGTTCTGGGGGTGGTCAGGGAGAAGGGGTGGTTGGATGGGGCAGGGGTCCCGGGGAGTTAGTCAGGAATGAGAGGAGGGGTTGGATGGGGTGGCGGGGGGCAGTTGGGGTGGGGGGGCTGGGGGCAGTCAGGGAACAGGGGGGCCAGATGGGGCAGGAGTCCTGGGGGGGGCGCGTCAGGGGGCGAGAAGCAAGGGGGCTCGGATAAGGGGCGGGGGCTGGGCCACGCCTGGCTGTATGGGGAGGCACAGCCTCCGCTAACCGGCCCTCCATACAATTTTGGAAATTCGATGTGGCCCTCAGGTCAAAAAGTTTGCCCACTCCTATACCCTGTTTCCCCGAAAATAAGACAGTGTCTTATATTAATTTTTGCTCCCAAAGATGCGCTGGGTCTTATTTTCAGGGGAAGTCTTATTTTTCCTGGAGCTTCGGGGCCTTATATTCCGGGGTGGCCTTATTATCCGGGAGGTCTTATTTTCGGGGGATGCCTTATATTACAGCGAGAGGCAAAACTGGAAGTAGGTCTTATTTTCGGGGGATGTCTTACTTTCGGGGAAACACGGTAGTAGAAAAAGGCTGAACAAGAACCAATGGCTGGAAACTTAAGCCAGACAAATCCAAATTAGAAATTAGGCACATTTTTAAATGGCGAGATTGATTAACCACTGGAACAAATTACCAAGGAGAATGATAAATCTCCATCTCGTTATCCTCAAATCAAGACTGGATGCCTTTCTGGAAGATATGCTTAAGCCTAGCACACGTTATGCTTTAGTCATACATCGTTATTGAGCTCAATACATGGGTAATTGGCCTGTTGATACACAGGAGGTAAAACTAGCTGATCGGACCTTTCTGAACATAAACTCTATGAAGTGTCACCTGTGTTATCAAATATCAGAGGGGTAGCCATGTTAGACTGAATCTGTAAAAAGCAACAGAGGGTCCTGTGGCACCTTTAAGACTAACAGAAGTATTGGGAGCATAAGCTTTCGTGGGTAAGAACCTCACTTCTTCA